TATGTAATACAACAAAATATATAGGCTGTTATCTATATATCCTCTTCCTGAACACGAATGTAGAAAAAACACAAACTGGCTCAAATCTTTAACATACGAATACACTGAAAGTTTTTTACATCCTCAACTTTAATATCACGCACCTTACATATTATGTATCTGTACAATTTAATTAATTGGCTTTGTTATACTCGTATTATCCTTCAATTTACTAAATGTCGATTTTCTCATAACCAATTAAATGAAAATAATAATGTCTTCAATATACTTTAAAAACGTGTAATTTAAGATGTACAATTCGTGACAAGGGACCTGGTGACATATGGAACAGGTATTGTTTTAATACCTTTATTAGGCACCAGTCTCTCACAAACTAGTGTTCAATACGTTTATAGTTTGTCATCATTAGTACTGTACCTTGATTAAAACTACTTTTACGGATTTTATCGCGTTTTATTTATATTAATTTTAATACCCGACGTTTCGGGTGCTTTCCAGCACCCATGGTCACGGGGGACTGAGGTGACTGACGTCCCGATGTCAAAGTTAACCCGGAGTACCTTCAGCTTTTTAATTATTGTCTTTGGTCCGATCTACGCAGAATGAACTAACTGTATTTTGAAGTCTTGCAGTGGTATGCTTGGGTTTAGTTTTAATTTTATTAATTATAGGATCCCAAGCAGGTGGTAGTAACCAGCCTCCTTCTCTATTGAAATTGGGATGTTTTTTAATTTCAATAGCCTCACGTATCATCCTTGGTAGGAATCGATGTTCTTTCGCGAGGATTTGTGGTCTATCAAATCTGATGTAATGGTTGGGGCCATCTAGAATATGATCGCAAACTGCAGACTTCCCAGAACGTTGATGCTTCACGTCAGCTATGTGTTCTTTTACGCGGGTTCTAATTGATCTCTTTGTTTGCCCTATATATGAGAGACCACAATCACAATCAAGCTTGTACACTCCTGCATCTTGTAGAGGAATATGACACTTGACGGATGGTAAGAACTGACTAATCTTCTTCGGCGGCTTGTTCTAATAGAAGCTCCTTCAAGATGTAGCCAATCTTGTCTTTGACACCTCTGACATATGGTAGTATAGCAGGTACACGCTCGACTGTGGCCGGCTTCACTCGGTCACTGTGACGGAGGCGCGGGAACCGAAGCTTGTTGTCGTGCAGAACCTGCTTGACGTGCTGAAACAAAGATTTGCCCACGGTAGCTAACTGTGAAGGATGATGGTGAGATTCACCATTTAAGTATCGGTTTGTATGGGTCTTTCTATACACAGTATGACCTATGGTGTTGTTAGGATTTCGGATGACTAACACATCTAGGAAAGCTAAGGAATTATTTGCCTCTAACTCCATAGTAAATTGAATTTTAGGGTTTATGGAATTAAGATGTTCTAAAAATGCAGTTACTTTGTCTGATGGTAAAATTGTGAAAGTATCGTCTACGTACCGCTTGTAGAACCTTGGGGTAACAGGTGCAGTAAGGAGGGCTTTCTCCTCAAAGTCTTCCATGAATATATCGGAGACAATGGGAGATACAGGTGAGCCCATCGCAACACCATCTACTTGCTTGTAAAACTCTTCCTTCCACAATAGATAGCCAGATGTAAGGCAATGTCTTAGTAGTACTGCATATTCTGGTGGCATGTTATTTTCATCTAGTTTCCTAGTTATAATTGAGATGCAGTCTTCAACAGGTAGGCATGTAAATAGAGACTGAACATCAAAACTGACCATGGTTTCATTGTCAACAAGACGTAGGTCTTTTATCTCACTGACAAAATGGTATGAATCCTTAGTATGTGCTCTTATGTGTCCTCTGAGTGGTGATAATATTTTGCCTAAGTGTTGAGCCAATCTGTACGTTGGCGAATCGATTTGACTCACTATTGGACGTAATGGAGCGTTAGGTTTGTGTATTTTTGGTAACCCATACAACTTGGGAGGTTTTGCACACGAAAGTATCATCGAATTGACGTCTAGATTCAATTTCTCGGAGTATTTCTTAATTAGATCGCTAGTTGTTTTAAGCGTATTAGTTGTAGGGTCTGTTTTGACCTTACGGTACGTACTTTCATCCGACAAAATTTGTTGTATTTTAAAATTGTAATCCGACGTATCCATTACAACCGTAGCATTTCCTTTATCTGCGCGGAGAATCGTAAGGTCTGGTCTGTTGCGTAAGGTTTTTAACGCGTTAAATTCATTTTTGGGAAGATTTAATTTCGGCGCTGTACTTCGACGTAACATAGACGAAATGTCTTGGCGTATGACCTCTAAATCTTCATTACCAATATTATTTTTATACAGACAATCCTCAACACTACAGATAATGTCTTCATACGGGATTCTTCGCGGTGTAATTGCATAATTAAAACCTCTTCCTAAAACTTTTAATGTGGCGTCGTCCAGAGTATGTTTTGACAGGTTATAGACCACGCCTTGTTTACTATTCGTGTCTGTGGTCGTTTCGTTCTTACGTTGCCATTGATGTTGGACATTTGATTTAGTTGTTAATTTTTTGGTATTTATCAATATGTTTATTTTTGCATTCATTGTATTTAGTTGTTTCGCGTTTATCTAAAGTTTCCATGCAATTCTTATAATCAAAAAAATTAACAACTAAATCAAATGTCCAACATCAATGGCAACGTAAGAACGAAACGACCACAGACACGAATAGTAAACAAGGCGTGGTCTATAACCTGTCAAAACATACTCTGGACGACGCCACATTAAAAGTTTTAGGAAGAGGTTTTAATTATGCAATTACACCGCGAAGAATCCCGTATGAAGACATTATCTGTAGTGTTGAGGATTGTCTGTATAAAAATAATATTGGTAATGAAGATTTAGAGGCCATACGCCAAGACATTTCGTCTATGTTACGTCGAAGTACAGCGCCGAAATTAAATCTTCCCAAAAATGAATTTAACGCGTTAAAAACCTTACGCAACAGACCAGACCTTACGATTCTCCGCGCAGATAAAGGAAATGCTACGGTTGTAATACGTCGGATTACAATTTTAAAATACAACAAATTTTGTCGGATGAAAGTACGTACCGTAAGGTCAAAACAGACCCTACAACTAATACGCTTAAAACAACTAGCGATCTAATTAAGAAATACTCCGAGAAATTGAATCTAGACGTCAATTCGATGATACCTTCGTGTGCAAAACCTCCCAAGTTGTATGGGTTACCAAAAATACACAAACCTAACGCTCCATTACGTCCAATAGTGAGTCAAATCGATTCGCCAACGTACAGATTGGCTCAACACTTAGCCAAAATATTATCACCACTCAGAGGACACACAAGAGCACATACTAAGGATTCATACCATTTTGTCAGTGAGATAAAAGACCTACGTCTTGCTGACAATGAAACCATGGTGAGTTTTGATGTTCAGTCTCTATTTACATGCCTACCTGTTGAAGACTGCATCTCAATTATAACTAGGAAACTAGATGAAAATAACATGCCACCAGAATATGCAGTACTACTAAGACATTGCCTTACATCTGGCTATCTATTGTGGAAGGAAGAGTTTTACAAGCAAGTAGATGGTGTTGCGATGGGCTCACCTGTATCTCCCATTGTCTCCGATATATTCATGGAAGACTTTGAGGAGAAAGCCCTCCTTACTGCACCTGTTACCCCAAGGTTCTACAAGCGGTACGTAGACGATACTTTCACAATTTTACCATCAGACAAAGTAACTGCATTTTTAGAACATCTTAATTCCATAAACCCTAAAATTCAATTTACTATGGAGTTAGAGGCAAATAATTCCTTAGCTTTCCTAGATGTGTTAGTCATCCGAAATCCTAACAACACCATAGGTCATACTGTGTATAGAAAAAAGACCCATACAAACCGATACTTAAATGGTGAATCTCAACATCATCCTTCACAGTTAGCTACCATGGGCAAATCTTTGTTTCAGAGAACACGAGGGATCTGTGACAGCAAACACCTGGCCGCCGAGCTTCAGCACGTCAAGCAGGTTCTGCACGACAACAAGCTTCGGGTCCCGCGCCTCCGTCACAGTGACCGAGTGAAGCCGGCCACAGTCGAGCGTGTGCCTGCTATACTACCATATGTCAGAGGTGTCACAGACAAGATTGGCTACATCTTGAAGCGAGCTTCTATTAGAACATTACAAGCCGCCGAAGAAGATTAGTCAGTTCTTACCATCCGTCAAGTGTCATATTCCTCTACAAGATGCAGGAGTGTACAAGCTTGATTGTGATTGTTGTCTCTCATATATAGGGCAAACAAAGAGATCAATTAGAACCCGCGTAAAAGAACACATAGCTGACGTGAAGCATCAACGTTCCGGGAAGTCTGCAGTTTGCGATCATATTCTAGATGGCCCCAACCATTACATCAGATTTGATAGATCACAAATCCTCGCGAAAGAACATCGATTCCTACCAAGGATGATACGTGAGGCTATTGAAATTAAAAAACATCCTAATTTCAATAGAGAAGGAGGCTGGGTACTACCACCTGCTTGGGATCCTATAATTAATAAAATTAAAACTAAACCCAAGCATACCACTGCAAGACTTCAAAATACAGTTAGTTCATTCTGCGTAGATCGGACCAAAGACAATAATTAAAAAGGTAAAGGTACTCCGTGTTAACTTTGACATCGGGACGTCAGTCACCTCAGTCCCCCGTGACCATGGGTGCTGGAAAGCACCCGAAACGTCGGGTATTAAAATTAATATAAATAAAACGCGATAAAATCCGTAAAAGTAGTTTTAATCAATGTATAGTGTTCGCGTAAATATAAGAAATCATTAGTACTGTACCTGTTTGTGATGAGAAAATAAATATAATTTCTATTCTATTCTATCTATAACTAGTTTTATTGTGCGCATAGAACGCCTGTGTATGGCTACTCCCTTCCGGTCCGCCGGTGACCTTAGTTGCTTTATGGGTGTGTAACCTAATTTTGAATATCGGTATGGGGCAGGTTATATTCCGGTCGGAGTTCCTGTTCGAGTTCCTGTCGGTGGTGATATCGGGGCTCGCAGCGGGCGGAGCGCGCGCGCTGCTGCGCGACGAGGCGCTGGCGGCGGCGCATGCCATGGCCTGCGTGGACTTCGCCGCCTTCCGCCTTTCCTTCCTGCCGCGCTTCCTGCACGCGCTACCCGGCCTCGCTCCGCACCACGCCGCGCACCTCCAGCAGTTCCCGCCCGACACCGTACGTACGCACGCGCACGCACACACATGTGCACACACACACACACACACACACACACACACACACACACACACACACACACACACACACACCTACGCACGCGCACACACACACACACGCACGCACGCACACACATACGCACGCACGCACGCACGCACGGCGCGCGCGCTTTAGTATTTGGTCATGAAAGGAAAATATCTCCCGCCTGGCAAAGTGATCGGCCAACGCTCCGTGTTATATATTATTAGTTCGGAGCTATTCTACATATAGCACAGTACTTCGGAACTTTGTTAGCGTGATTTAGGCTTCGGTGCGATTCCCTTGTAGCGCGACGACAGCGCCGCAACAGATAGATATACTTTTCGAAATAAATACGTTGTGCATAGTTTAAGAGGGTGTATGCGATTTGCGTCGAAGACTTCATCTTTTAGGGTTTTTCGAGGGCGATATCGTAACGATGTGAGCAGATTATTTGCGGAAAATTAGGGCTTTAGAAAGATTAAGTCTTTATTTAGTGCACTGCAACAGAAGTTTACTGCAGAATAGCTTTTAATTACTGTTTTTAGAGCGAAGACAACCATTATTATAAGCTAAAATACTTTATTTTAAGCAGTCTCCCATCCGTATAGTGGGTCTTGGAGGAATGCATGGCTCTATAAATATCCTCATACATTTCCTCCATCTCCTCATCGGGATGTGCCAAGATTGGTGCGTAAACCTGTATGACCTTCAGCGAATACCGTTTGGTGATTCTGAGTATCAGGTACGCGACTATCGTCGACACACTCAATCCTTACAACGTTGTTGACGAGAGACTTGTGGACGATAAATCCGACACCTCCTTGGGACAGATCGTCGCCCTCCCGGTGGTAGAATAAGTTGTCGGATTCGAGGATTACCGTGTCCTCCCCCTCTCTTCGGACCTCGGATAATCCTATTATATGCCAGCGCAACTTGTCTACCTCTTCTTCCAGCTCCAGTATCTTCTCGTCAGTCCTCAGGGTGCGTGCGTTATATGCTGCCAGGTCGAGTCGTCGTAGGTGGCAACCGAACCTCCACCGGAGATTCTTAGCACCCCCTGCCCCGCCGTTACCATGGTCGCCACCGTAGTCAACTATTCCTGATAGCGGGGCCGAGGGCCGTTTTTTTGTGTCGTTCTTTATGGGGATGTTTGCCATTGTTGCCACGATTGGCGAGCGGGTTGGCAACCGCAGTTTTTTATTGTATAGTTGTTGTTATCAGGAAGCCTGCCTGCCTCCCTCTGTTGCCTCTTACGACACCCACGGGAAGATATGGGGTAGTGGATATTCTCAGCCGCCACTACACGGTTATTAATGCTAATTAATGTGTAGTATTCGCGTAAATACAAAAAATCATTCTATAGAAATAACTAAAATAAATCGACGCCCCCGAGCAATAAGTCAGTAGTCGTAAACCTAAAATTTTACAGGAAAAATGATTAATTATTTTTGTGGTATAACTCAGGAACACGTTGGAATATTAAAGAGAATGATGTATCAAATTAAAGTAAATTTTTTATAGAATCTGATCTTGATGTTGAAGTTAAATTAAATAATTTTGAATGCAAGCAGAAAATAAAAGTTACTGATAATGCGCTAGCAATGTGTTTCGGTGTTATTATTGTTGTAAATTTCTCAAAAGTGATGTTATAGTAACTTTATACTACTGACATATTGGACTATTTTAACACGCTTTTATTAGCTTGGCCTGTATGTATGTAACAGAATCTTTTAACGTCATTTTCACCTACTTCTAGGAGACTGATTAACTTGAAATTTTGCACAGGGGTCAAGGGCCGATGACAATACAATAATATCATAACTTTATAATAAAGTCTAGACTAGGATCATAAGGATAAAAAATATATTTAGATTAGTGAACAAGTTAAGCGTATACCACTCGTATTTTCTACGTTTTAGTTCGATTGCTATTAAAGCGCGTTTTTTTAGTTTCTTTAAACTATAATTTATTATATCATTTAAGAGGCAAAATTTAATGTACTATTACAAAGTTATTGCTGTACTTTAAATTAGATTAGATAAAGGCAAAGACGTAAAACTCGGTTTTTGCAGTAAAAATCAAAATTTATTTTCTAAGTAATTGTCTAACAGCACTCTGAGAGATAATTAAGTGTAATGTCAAGGTTTATAAAAAATATTAATATTTTTTCATAAAGATTGTAATAATATTTCCATAAAATATTTTTTTCTTAAAATAAATATATACAATTTATTTTATATTATCAAAATCACACATTCTTTGTGTAGGCGTAAAAATATTTTAATTTCATAAAAAAATACAAATTGTCAAGTCATTATTATGGGTTGTTTTAAACATTTTTACTATCGCAAAACCGGGGACTTAATTTTATAGCAAAATTTTATGTAAACTCAATCAATTTTACGCGGTAAAATCACGCTGCAGCTATATTAAAGTTGTAGCACAAATGCGTCGGCTCGAACGGGGGCGTAAAATAGCAACTTATCGCTACTGTTCCGTATGGTGAGTTTAGAGAACCGGAGACCCTTTTTGCTGGAAACGAGGCATTCCATCTTAGTCCTCACGGGTGACAACGCAACTTTACATTTTGCTTCGTATTTGAGGACAGATTTACTCGTAGATGTACATGGGCCTGCAGGTGGACGTGTGCTCGATTGTCACCCTATCCTATAAAAAAAACTATGGTATTAGTATGTCATTAATATAGACAAGAAACAAAAGGAGATCAAGAATTGAGCCCTTAGAAAGACCTATTAGTACTTGCTAACTTGAAAGAACTCTTATAACAATTTTTCGAATTTTGTTAAATATGATCTAAAAAATTTAAAAGCAACACTACTCGCTACCATAATGTTGTAGTTTCTTAATTAATTATTTGTCATGGCTCGTTACCCGGGATATATATCTTCATTCTTCAGTTTGAATAATTAATTTTAGTTCGATATATTATGCAAAATAAGCTTATTGTATCTCGAAGTCTTGCAGTTTGAGTTTGGATTTAATTAATAAATTAAATATGTTTATAATGTTCCATACAAAATATTGCAGTGTTTTTTTTTAATGAAAGTAATGGAAACTTTTTCACTATGTTACATTTAAACTTTAAACTATATTCATTTTATGGGACAAACACAAATTTCTCACTTCCTTGCTTTTTGTAAACATATAAAAACTTATTGCTGTTGCTTATTTGGAGTCTGTGAGAATATTATACGGTAAATAAAGTTACTAATAGTAACGTTATTTACCGTTATTTTAATACAAAAAAATTACGAAGATTGAGATAATCACTCAGTAATTCGAGTTTCAAACTAAAAACCGTGAAAATGTATTTCTTTATTTCAGGATCTGCCATCTTTCACACAAAATATTCAGCGTTTGATGAACGACGTGAATTGTTATCGAGCATATCAATCTTTGACTTCTGCGGATAATATGGTCGCTTAAAAACTATCGGATAATACTGGTGCTGTGATATAGACTGTCGACAATTTATATATTAACGAATTGTTACGCTTTGATCTATATGCAGATATAAGGTATTTTATACTTAAGTTCGTTTAATATTCTGCTGCTTTTCAAAACAATAAATTGTTTGGATTGTTACGTGAATTCTTTAATAGTTTATTCAAAGAAAAATTAAACTTATCTAAATAACATCCATGGATTAAAATTAGTGCAAATGAGCTTTGGCTTCAATTCTTTCGTCTGAAACCGTATTTTATATTTTTATTTAATTTTTAAATACTATTCTTGAAGAAGGTTTTTTGTGCCACAGATATAGTCATAAAGTAAGAACAAAACACATCAGCAACTATGTGTTTAGAGGCAAGCATAAGATTTCACTTAAATTTAAAACAATATTTAGTAATTAAAATTATAATATTATTATCAATGAATACTAATTATACCCAATATAAAAAAGTAACTATAATACAGAAAAACTAATGTTAAAAATTTAAATAGTCAAAAAGTCCTGCTCCCCGTGGTATCGTGCCGAGAACGCTGGCTGCGTTTCCTCGCTGAATAGCTATACTTAGCCTTTGAGCGAGGAAAGAACCAGCCCTATTATCACCAGCAGCGACGACCAGCCCTGGATACAGTTTCTTTAGGAATTTCACTGTACGTGGACCCCACGGACCGATAATCTCTACAGCAAATGGCACAAATATGTAGTAATTTCTCAAGGACTCATATTTGCGCCATTTACTAAATTCGGCTGCCTTTGATGCCGCCTCGGATCTAAGAGGTACCCAAGTGGCCAAAGTGTCGACGCAGGTAGCATCCCACACTAGGGCTTTACCTCTCTCCCAAGGGACCAAAGGGGGCGTCCATAAATTACGTGAGATGTTTAAGGAGGGTGGGGAAGTAGGTCGAGTCAAATTTCATCTAATCTTACGTTGGAGAGAGGAGGGGGTTTCGGCAAATATCACGCATTTTTTTTTCTGATTGAAACAAAAAAAAATACTATTTTGGTCCATTTAATCCAAATTGTACATGCTTAAGATCCTAAGCGTATATCGTAATACGATTAACCACTAGAAATGTCAGATTATTAAACCAATTAGTCAAACCTATGGTCAAGCCAAAGAGTATAGTAGGTTGGGCCAAAGACAATTTTTTTAACGAAGGAAAGTATAACTTAGAGTTATTACCATATTCTTATCCAAAAATAAAAAATATCAACAATTAAAATATCGAATTATTTGTATGAAGGTCACGTGAGCGCCAGAGAAACGACGATTGTGTTTGATGTAGACAAATAAAATGTTTAATGAAATAGTACAGTAAAAATAGAATTTAACTTTGCACTAAATTTCCGATCCAATTTCATTTTTTTATAAGGTTTAGGATCACTTAGCATAAAATCACAAAATGCTGACAGATCCAGGAGGCGCTTCAAGCGCCATCTTGAAAAAACGTTTTGAGCCGATATCTCGGAAACTATGCACTTTAAGGCAAAAGTTATAGAAACCATATTTTGCATCTTTTGTTTCCAGTAAACTCTAATAAATCTATTTTTAAAGATCAGTTTATATTCTAAAACTTTTGCTTGAATTTTTTTTTATGATGTCCATACTTTTTGAGTTATAGTACGTTTAATGTTCAAATGTGTGCAAATTTTTTTTCTTTTTACAATAACAATCCAACGCGTTTACGTAAGAAACCCACATTTTGTAAAATCTCACGTGAGATTGGGGGATGGGGGAGGGGGTTGAATAAAATCTCACGACATCTCACCAGGGGGGAGGGAGGGACAGAAAATTTAAAACAGAAAAAAACACCTCACGTAATTTATGGACGCCCCCAAAGTCATACCGTCGGGTCTCTTGCCCTCATCTCTAAATATCCCGCAAGGCTCTAAAACCAAGGGGATATTTATGGAGACAAGAGCCCTTCGGATGACTTCGTTCAAAGAACCGTGACGGGAAAACCTACCTGCACTTTTCTTGCATGAAAGTCCGTGGAGCCCAAACTCATTGACGCTGCTACCACAGGGGCACTGGTGGGATTGACAAATTGCCGCTCCAAGCCTACGGCGATGCGCAAGCTCTCCCCATCAAGCAATGTGCGAAGATTACTTGATGGTAGAGCGTGTAACCAGTGACTAGATTCCTTAGTCGAAACAGCTAGAAGGCGAGCCTAATCTTGTTGACTGTGGAAATTTTGAAGTAATATTTTCTGGACACTCCGTACCAACGGAATATCCCACTGTTTTTGTTGGTTAACTTCCAGTGGGATATTTTCGCCGGGACAGAGCGTTAGCCATGTTTGCTTTGCCTCCGCAGCAAAACACAGGTCTACTTTATTATTTAAAATTGTGTTACATAAATCATTGATGTACGGAAGCAAGGAAAGCAGGCAATGTCATTTGGACATTTTTGGAATTTCATAAATACTATTATTTTATCATAAAATGTTTTAGATACTAGTCATTTTCAATTGGGGACATCCTATTTCTAGTAATAAGAATTAATTGGAGCTGCCATTTTATTATTTAAAAAAAAATACTGTTCCTAAGAATATTTTTTATGTTTTAACTTTCAGATTTGTGGCATATTTTTCTATTAAAGAAATTCCTTTATAGGCATTTGTGCATTATTTTTGCTTGTGGGCGGGTTTTGAATGAATTCAGATATTGAGTGCAATATCTAGAAACAAAATTTAGTTTACTCTGTATTACAAATATAGATTAAGCAAAAGGGGACCAACTCTATAGTGGATCTCATAAGCAATTAAATACACGATATTGACACTTATGTAGAACTAAACATGAGTACTTATAATAAAAAAATAATAAATAACTCAATACAGTGCCACATCAGCTCTAATGTTCAATTATTCTTTAATAGAATACAAGTTTTTATGTTTTTTGTGGTCTGTGTATTGTTTAGTGCACTATGTAAGTTATGTATAATAATAGTAATGCATTTTATCTATATAATAAAACATATTATATATAAAAGTTTTTTATTTGTTTTATTTTCAATTCTTCAGATCATCTTAGATATTGATTTTATACAATTCTGTTATGGTACAAAAATTACACCATAACTTAGTTTTTATTCAAGCAGCAACCTCTTTGAGACTTCTTCCACAATGTCTTTGTGACTAGCATATAGCTTAATGTCTGGTGTTATATCGACCCAACGAACACCAACAGCATCATCACCTGCATTTAGTTTCAATTTACCAACTGTAGAACCATCATGGTCATGAAAGTTATATGCAACTGTCTCCATCCACGAATTATCAGTGTTACGTGGATCATCTACGTAACCACTGTATACTTCCACTCCTCCACTAAAGAACTTGTAAAATATTTCTGACCATTTAGCTTTTTGCTCTGGAAATAGAAGCACTTAATTAAGAATCTAATGCTAGTTACTGTTTAAATCTATACACGTTATACAGTAACAAATAGTAGACATAAAAATAGATTTTCCTAAGAGCGTTTTTTCATTCATCGGTATATCGATAAAGATATTTCGTCTCCGACTTATTTCATCGACACCGATATATTTAAAAACTTTTTCATTCAACGACACGGTTCAGTGATATATTGAGACAAGCTAGGGCTAACATTTATGTTTGAAAAGAAGATAGGTATGTCAATTTGAAAGTGCATATAGTGCGTGGTCGAGCAGAAGGTAACTTATGTGCTCGACGTGAGTGGTACCTCATCACCTACACAAGTCAGAAAAAATATGCTACTTGCATTGATCTACTACTAGGTCAACGGCTACTTGGCTTCTTTATGCGGCCTGCACAGGCCAAGCGATTGAATGTATGTGTAAACACTTCAATATTTTAAAATGCTTATGTATTAAAAAAGAAGTAGAAAGTCAACATTATTTCTAAGGACAGTTTTATAATATATAATGTTAAAGCTACAAACCATTACGTCTCACTGCTGGAAACAAGTCTCCTCTCATTTCTAAGAGGGTTTAAGGAGCAAGTAAATTTTACTTTAATTCTACAATTTCGGCGATAGTTACAAGTGCAGTAGCGTATTTCGGTTGAAAACCGTTCCGGCCAGTGGCGAAGTTAGGGCTCCAAACTAGGGCAAGCCCAAGCTATGGTTTTGTTGTTTTTAGCAGTTTTATAAAAATACACCAATCTTGATCTGTCTCCACTCTTTAGTTTCATATTCACTGATGGATAGGTTGTATGACCGTAGAATCAATCAATTTTCGTTCGATAAAATGACTTCACCTATAGAATTAAGTAGATGGCGCTATTAAAATTTAATATAATGAAGACTTGAAAGTGATTAAATATGTTTTTTTTAAAAACCTTTTTTCAATACGATGATTTTGTAATCATTTGCAATTTATTAAATTAAAATTTGGGGTTCACATTAAAAAAAAGATTGTAACAATTATTTGCTATAAAATTAAACTTATATCTAGGTATCTCATATTTTATGCTGCAGTTCAAAATTATATTTTTAACTCGTATAGTAATATAAGTATTGATATATTAAACCTTTAAATACGCCTAGAATAATTAAACTTTAATACTAAAGAGCCCTGTACCTATTAAAGTGTGAAGAAATGTTTATTGAATTAAAATTTTATTTTTAAAGATTTTATCTTTTCCTCGCTGATTAGCACTTTAACACACTTCATTCATCACAAAGAACACTCTGTCCCTCCATTTTCACTAAAAATCTTTAAAAAATTATAAATTTTCAACTCACAATATTTTACATAATACATTCGCTCAAGCTAACACACAATGTAGACATTGAAATGTGACGTGAACTTGCAAACATATCGTCGGTGTCGCCCGCGCGCCTTCGTGTCTCGACTAACTTCATACCTAACGTGACCATACGTTCCCCTTTAGGCAGGACGTTCCCGATTTAAAGGTTTGTGTCGCGCTGTCCCCAAAATACGTAAAAATGTCCCGCTTTGACAAACAAAAGCGTGACAATCATGCAAACTCTGTCACCCGTGCCATCATTGTGACACCGCGCGTACCAGGTTTGCCAGCATGGCTTGTATAGTTACGTGATTATTCTGAAAAGCTACACTTTTGAATTTAAAGGTACGAAGTGACAATTTTTAATTAATCTACAATAAATTATCAAATAACGTAAGTTATTTCCAATTAGTATTTATTTGATGTTCAGAATTCACTTTAGATCATTAAAAGATTCAAACAACTATGTGTTTTATTTATAAACCTATATTAAAAGGCTTCAGATTGAATTTTGGTAACAAGGCCATTCTCAACGGAAAATAGCCATCTGCGCATCTGGATTATATTGCCCAAGTGTAATACTACTGCTACTGAGAATTTTGTGACAGAAAAACCCAATAAATGATTCTTGACCCGACTCAGGTTTCGAACTTGGGACCACATGATCAGCAATTGCGTTTACGACCATTAGACCAAGAAGGCAGTCAAAAGTGTTAAAACTATAATAATTTTAAAGGCGTCCCGCTCTGAGGAAAAAATTGATGGTCACTAAAAAGCCGGGCTTTTTATCTCCATACTAATTGCTATTTATACAATCGTAGTTATGTTTCATTATAGAACATTTTGCCACAGGTTAGAAAGGGAGCGATCGCCTTCTCGAAAGCCCGGTAAAAAGCCCACGTGTGCGAGGGAGACAACCAATGGCTCAATTCAACTCTCCTTATATGTATGACAGCAGTATTCCTAAGGCTACGAGGTCGCACAGAGCGCGCGGGAAATTTGAAATAGTTTGAAACGGTTTACGAGTTATTTTATTACTTGATATTATTGATTGCTTCAGCTTGATAAGGCAAGCCGGGCTTCTGGGCTTGTATGGAGGCTTCGCCACTGGCTCCGGCCTATTTAAATTGACCGCGGCTATTGCCCTTGGCTATCGCAATTACCTGGTAGAGCCACGATGCATCCATATTAAAACATTTTGAGGTTATGTTTATAGTGTGCTTACGATTAATATGAAACTATTTAAGAACATACTTAGTGGTATTGTGGACAATTTTGAAGTCGTAAAATATGATGGAGACAATGATAATTACCAATGTAAAATTCGGTGCTCTTTGTCTTGTGAAGATGATTACGACAAAAAGTGTGGTTATTTCATTGAAAAATTTTCGGGGGAATCTCAAACAAATTGGATTATATTGAGACGATATTCTCAGCAGATACGATATGATTTCAGAAAAGTATTTATTTGTCATCTTTCGGAAAGGAACAAAACCAAAGATAAAAAGAAAGGTGTAACTAGAAACTATAATTGTAAAGCAAATATTAGGATAAAACTTTTAAAAGTAACTAAGAGTACGATAAAAATTCGCAACTAATGAAACGGGGATTGAATGTACTAATAGAGATAAACTATAATCATTCCCGAGTCAATGTCGCTCAAGCATTGAGCCTACTGCGCTGTGCCGAAGATACGATAAAACAATTTGAATCGTATTTTGAAGGTGGGATGGGACTTAGGGCATCCCTACTCGGACACGTTAGAAGCTCCTCTCTATGGAGTGTAGAAGTGGAGTACAGATTGTGTATTAAAAAGTGTCTATAGAAAACCGTTAAATAAGGGTGGCGCCACAAAAAGTGGATAGACGATTTTTCGAGGTTATTTACAAATAAAATTATTTGATTTTAGAGTACTGAGATTAGCAGCACACTTAAACTGTCATCCCAGTGCCAGTGAGTTTGAGCTGTTATTTACTGCTTACAAATGGCCACTTTTTCAACTATTCTACTATGGGAGTTGGTACTCCTTGCTTCTACACTCCATACTTCACTCCTTCGTGGTTATTTTTTATAAACTACTCAGAAGTAGGTACGCAGCGCGAAGCGGGGCTCCGTCGATCCGGCTTCCCTCGATTGCGCTACGTTGAGTGGCGTGGTGCTTCCCTCTTCCAACTCTCTCCCGTAGCGAAGTCGAGGGAAGCCCGGTCGACGGAGCCTCGCTTCGCGGCGCTCCTACTTCTGAGTGTTTTATAAAAAAATAACCACGAAGGAGATGGCGGGGTTCATTAAACACAAAAATGCCATCGAACAAACACGGATTTGTGGCGCTTAATCAAGACGCATACTCCTTGCAAACCAGTGCGCGATTGGAATACCTACCTTGAATGTAAAGGCAGGTAGCGCGACAAACCCGTGCGTGTTTCAAGGCAGTACCGCCTCCTAGTACTTTATAATTCCTAGTGAATACCTGATAATTCCTAGTGAATATAGAAACGGAAATACGCCTACTGCAGTAGAGACTTGATGAAGCAATGGCGTAGCTTTCTTGACTTTCACAAAATGCTACGTAAAGGTCAATTTTGAATATAAAATAACTGTAGCGGTGATAAACAAACAACGCACCTTCAGTAGCCACTAAAGAGTTCATAGCTTCTTCTTGAAATTCCCTCACTGCTGTAGCAGCCACCTTTTCCCCAGGATCAACCATTCCACCTGGCAGGGCCCATTCACCAGTGTCCCCACGTTTTATTGCTACAAATTGTAAAATTGGCCTAAAATATTTCACTAAAATTAACATAAAATTATTAGCAAAATTAAGTTTTTAGTTTTAATAAGTTATTAAATTAAGTTAGCAGTGATCCACAAATTACTGGCCCTCTCTCCTATATCACACCTCGTTGGGTACACGAAAAACGCGGTGGGCGTGATTCGTGAATAAGACGTTCGACTTAGAACTCAAAAGAAAGTGGTTGAATACTAAGATTACGGGTACCTAAAGAATGGTCCGGTCCTGACGTCAGTCATGTACTAAGTAGACTGTATATTCCCTTACTTCCCTACTTTTAGGGTGGACACTGAAGAATTCTTTAAATAAAATAATATTTAAGTTCGTAAATGCCCCTTGGAAATGCATTGCTGAAATTTCACTATAATTTCCCGAAACTACCGAGGTTTTATAGGTTTCCGAAAATACACAAACCAAACGCTCCATTGGGTTCGATAGTTAGCCAGATCTATTCACCAACTTATAAGTTATTTAAACACTTCTTGGCAAAAATACTGAGAGAACACACCAGAGCACACAAAAGATTCGTGCCATTTTGTTTGTGAGATAAAAGACCTACATCTCGCTGACAATGAAACTATTTACATGCCTATATATTGAAGACTGCTTCTCAATTGTAACTAGAAAACCACATACCTGCAGAATATGCAGTATAACTCAAACACTACCTCACATCTGGCTATCTATTGTGGAAGGAGGAGTTCTACAAGCAAATTAACGATGTGACGACGAGCTCACATGTATCTCCCATAGTTACCGATATATTCATAGAAGACTTTAAGAAAGCCCTTCTTACAGCTCCCGTAAATCCAAGATTCTACAAGCGGTACGTAGATGACACTCATAATTATACCATCTCACAAAGCAACTATATTTTTAGACCAGCTAACTCCATAAACTTTATATTACAATTCACAATGGAGTTTGAGGCAAATAATTCTTTAGCTTTACTAGATGTTTTAGTCATCCGAAATTCTATTGACTAAAACACCTAGTAACACTTTACCAGTGGCGAAGCTAGGGCTCCAAACTAGGGCAATACACCAATCTCGAGATGTCTCCACTCTTTAGTTTCATATTAAGTGCTGTCAAGGACGTGTTTAACAAAGCACACAGAAAGCATACTACCGCTAGATAGATTGTATGACATATGCAATTGCACACCTTCGGTGGTTTTGAAAAGAGCCGTTTGGGTATACTTGAGATATTTACAAACAATACAATACATGAACAAAAGAAAAGCATGAACAAAGTACAAACAAACTATGTACAAAGTTAAAAAGGGACGCCTGGCAGATGTGAAACCTCGAAATTATTTTTTTTAAGTTATATGCATAAAAAAACAGATTACGACAGGCATTAGATAGTTATAATGAGAAGATAAAGCTTTGCTAATTTTTTACCATAAAATAATGACTATTTATTATATAATTATTCATTTTCAATTCATAATAAACCGTACAAAATGATATTTTTAAACTCATATGGTAATATAAATTAGCCGATAGCGTATTTGTGCCATCTAGCGTAATCTTTAGGTACCATCGTGAGAATCAACCAATTTTCGTTTGATAAAATGACTTTACCTATAGAATTAAGTACTCGTAGATGGCGCTATTAAAATTTTATATACTGGAAATAACTAAAGGGAGTATTCTTTAAAAATCAATCTCAATACAATCTTCTGTAATCTTTTGATTTATTACATTAAAACTTGGGCTTCACGTTAGAAAAAGATTGTAACACTTATTTCCTATAAAATTAAGCTTAGGTGTCTCATATTTTATGCTGCCGCTCAAATTGATATTTTTAATTCATATGGTAATATAAATATTGAGTTATTAAACCTTTAAATACGCCTAACTTAATTAAACTTTAATACTAAAGAGTCCTGTACCTATATTTAAAGTATGAAGAAATGTTTATTGAATATTAAATTTCATTTTCAAAGATTTTACCTTTTCCTCGTCGATTAGCACTTCAACACACTTATATTCATCACAATGAACACTATTATCCTCCCATTTTCACCGAAAATCTTTGAAAAAGCATAAATTTTTAACAAACACAACAAAAACAAACATAAACATTGAAATGTGAAGTGAACTTGCGTACGAATGGCCCGCACCCCATTCGCTAGTCGCTAACGCACTCCTAAACAACTTCATGGCAAAGCCAGGCTTGTGGCTCAATAGTAATTGCTATATAAACATTTCGTAGTTACATTTCATTATAGAACATTTTGCCACAGGTTAGAAAGGGAGCGATCGCCTTCTCGAAAGCCCGGTAAAAATCCGTACGAGGGAGAAAACCAATCGCTCAATTCAACTCTCCTTATATGTATGACAGCAGTATTCGTAAGGTTACGAGGTCCAACAGAGTGCGCGGGAAATTTGAAATACACTCGGCGTCACAAAAATCGCACCTCCCCGAAAAAATTTTACTTGAGTATCTGGTTCCCAGTGTTTATATTTAATCAAGTCAATATTGGTATCTACTGAAAGTGCGTTTATTAACCTCTAAATTAATAACCTTTTTGTTTCATAAACCTAAAAAATCTCTTGAGTACAAGACGTTGAAAAAACTGTTTCAAAAATACGCGTCATAAAAAGATCACTAGTTGCGGTGCGTTATGTGCTATAAAAGGGCCGGTACAGTTAAAATGTGAGTCTTTCGCTTTTAAAACGTTCAAGAGGATACACGTTAACTTCTGAAGCAAGCTAAAAACCCTACAATATGGATAACACTGCTGGTGAAACCGTTCAAGTGATTGCGCTGCTGCAGTCAGGGATACGACAGTGTGATGTCGCTCGGCAACTAAATTTATCCCGTTTTTCCGTTCGACGAGTATCCTAACGGTTTCAGGACACTGGTGGTTATATTCGGATGCGTGGATCTGGACGACAGTGCTGCACATCTCAAAGAGACGATCGATTCATTGTATCGACATCTCTACGCAATAGATTCTCGAATGCTTTAGAACTGCAACAGCAGCTACAATCAGCTCGCAGAACATCTGTAAGCGTCTCTACGATCAGAAGACAGTTAAGAGAAAAGAAAATTGCAGCGCATAGGCCTTCAACTGGTCCAAAATTAACCGCGCAGCATCACAGAGATCGATTGCAATTTGCACGCGATCATATTGATTGGACGATCGAACAATTGAGAACGGTACTTTTTTCGGATGAGACGAGAGTATGTCTTTTCTGCAATAATAAACGCAGGAGAGTATACAGAAGGCAAAGGGAACGATTTGCACAAGCCTGTATTGAAGAAACAGTTGGATTCAAGAGTGGCTCATGCATGTTCTTGGGTGGCATGTCAGTCGACGCCAAAACCAGCCTTGTCTGCGTTTCCCGGAATGGAGGTGCTCGTGGTCAAGGGTTGCTGACTACTCACCGATACATAATGAAAATCCTAGAAGAGCATGTGGTTCCATAAGTGGGTTTTGTTGGCGATGGATTGACATTAATGCATGACAACGCCCGCTGCTACACTGCATTAATTGTACATGATTACCTTCAAGAGGTCGGAATCTCTGTTATGCGGTGGTCGGCGCAAAGTCCAGACATGAACTCGATAGAGCACCTTTGGAATGATGTAAAGCAGCGAGTACGGACTTGTGCTCCTGCCCCAACCACACTGCAAGACCTCGAGGAGGCTGTCATTGAGGAATGGGACAACATTCCTCAAGAACGCATTGTTACGTTGATTAGATCAATGAAAGACCGTATGGAAGCAGTAATTAAGGCAAGGGGCGGTACCGCTAGGTTTTAGGCCGTTTTAAAACATGTTTTTATATAATTTTGTAAGTTGCAATAAATCGTAATTTTCTTCTTTTGGACAATAACTTTTTTTTATTTCCCGGTAAAAAAACATGATAACCACTAAATATTTTTTCTAATGAGTAAATTTAATTACCTTTCCAATGATTGCGAGGATTTGTGGTTTATCAAATCGAATGTAATGGTGGGGACTATCTTGAACATGTTCGCAGACTGCAGACTTCCCGGAGCATCGGTGCTTCACGTCCGCTATATGTTCTTTCACGCGGGTTTTTATGGATCATTTTGTTTGACCTATGTAAGAGAGACCACATTCACAATCCTCGCAAAAGAACACCGATTCCTACCAAGGATGATACGCGAGGCTATTGAAATTAAAAAAACATCCAAATTTCAATAGAGAAGATGGATGGGTGCTGCCACCTGCTTGGGATCCTATAATTAACAAAATTAAACCCAAACCTAAGCATACCACTGCAAGACTACATGATACTATAAGCTCGTTTTGCGTAAATCGGACCAAAATTTAATATTCAAAAACTGAAGGTAGCCGGACTAACTATGACATTGGGACGTCAAACATCTCAGCCCCCCCCTCCGTGACCATGGGTGCTGTAAAGCACCCGAAACGTCGGGAATTAAAAATAACTAAAAGTAGTGAAATAAACGCGATAAAATCCGTAAATTTAGTTTTATTCAAATTGTACTGTATATTTAACAGGACAAGATTGGCTACATCTTAAACCGAGCTTCCAATAAAACCTTTTTTCGTGAGTAAATCATCACGGATATACCTTTGGCTGTGGGGGCACCCGAAAGTTTATGCCGAACACCTACCGGCTAATACCTTATGGTTGTCTCCATCAGCGTGTAAGAGGGGTCCCGGAATCTCCGTTCGGAACGCAACCAGAGTACCTCTCTCGCTTTGCTTTATTGGAAGCACGTCCTGGGGGCAGTGCTTACTACTCCCAGCACCCTCGCAGTGCTATCGCGCTATTTCAGGACCACTTCTGAGCCATCGTCCTCCTCCGTACGTTACTAGGCATTCGCGGTTCCCGCCCCAAATGTCTGCAACCCCAGAGGGTACCCTTTTCTGGTAGGGGATCACCATCTTCAAGGGGAGGGCCGTGACGAGCGTCTTGACGTCGTCTCCGAGTGGAATCTGTACTCCTCCGATCCCACTCAGCAGCCTCCTTCTGGGCGATTACGGACTCACAGGAGGTGACTACGGCCCTCCACGCCGAATCCACGCTCAGCATCGCCGACACGACTGCTGGCAGGGAGAGGTTCCAACCGATCCGGCTCGCCAGGATTATCCGCTCTCGTTCCCACGCTGGGCAAGTGTATGGGACGCGGAATCCTGGTCCAGCCCATTACAGTGGAAGCTGTTCACCGTCGCTTCGCGTCCGATCTTACACAGATAATCACAGAAGTATCCGTGCCCGGTAATTATCTGTGTAAGTCTGTAGGTGAGTCTTCCTACTCGTCGCTGCATCTAGGTTTCAAAAATCGGCAGGATTGCGCCAATAACGCGTTTCCGTGCACAGCGCTCCTTGTTAAGTCGAATGCGCCATGTCACCAAAGCGTTCTGTGGCTCCTGCCGTTTTAAAGACTCGAACGCCTCATCTGGCTTACTACCACCTCCCTGACGGAGGATGCGGCTTTGGTTGTATACCCTCGCATCCATATCCGCCAGTATATCTAGGGGTGGAAAGTGAGCCAGGATTGTTGCCGCAAAGGATATCGTGCGGTATCCTCGCACGATCCGTATAGCCATCCTCAGCTGGACACTGTTCTACATCGTCGGATGGCTAGTCCATTAAAAACTACTTTTTTTAACCATCCGTCAAGTGTAATATCCCTTTTCAAGATGCAGGAGTGTACAAACTGGATTGTCTCTTACAGAGGACATACAAAAAGATCTGTAAAAATCCGCGTAAAAAACATATAGCTGACGTGAAGCATCGACGCTCCGAGAAGTCTGCTGTCTGTGAACATGTTTAAGATCATCCCCGCCATTAAATCAGATTTGATAGACCACAAATCCTCGCAAACGAACACCGATTCCTACTAAGGATGATATTAGCGAAACCATTGAAATTAAAATATATCCTTATTTCAATAGAGAGAATGTGGGTGCTGCTATCTGCTTGGAATCCTATAATTAATAAAATTAAAAACAAACCCAAGCATACCACTGCAAGACTTCAAGATACTGTAACCTCGTTCTGCGTAAATCGGACAAAAAATTAATATCCAAAAGCTGAAGGTAGCCGGGCTATGACATAACCAAGTGACCATGGGTCCGAAATGGGAATTAAAGTAGAAATTAAACGCGGTGAAAATCGTTAGTTGATTATTAAATATCTTTAGTTCATATTTCATTTTTCTAAAAATTGGTAGTAAGTAAAAATTAATTCAAGTTGATTATAAATTTTAAATATTTTTTTATTTAATGCCAGTAATTTTAGAGTCTCAACTGCCGAACCCGCGCGACTAACGACGTACGCTTTTTTGCGCACCTCATTAAAGGTTTGGAAGTAAAGTATTGGACAGAATACAGTACAAGGTACAAGGTATCCCAGTAATGGTGGATAAAATTGTTCGGGCTGAGAGGAGGTGGCCTCAACGAGATTGCATTCCCTAATCTTTCACTATACAAGTTTTCCTAGGATGGACTTCAGTGGGTGGAAAATTTTTGGTGTGTCATTTTTATGTTATCTAATTAATTTATTACAATCTATTTGATATATTTTTCATTATTTATGAACCTTATTGTTGAAATAAGTACACATAAATATTTTGTTTCACAGTCATTGATTGTTAACCGATGTTGGTTAATAATGGATTATATCTACTAACGGTAGCATAGTGCTATAAATAAATTAATAGTACGGTTGCAACCTGTTTAAATAAATAAAATAACCAACTGTAATTTATACTTTTTTATCGGTACTTAAAGTCAATTACCATATTTTTTAATATAAAGATATTTGGCGCAACGACATTGACCGAGCTTATCTCGAGTCAATAATATCAGGCAGTACACACTTTTTATAAAACACTTGGAACTTGGCTAACATATTCAAAATCCAAAATTTGTGGTCTTTGTAGATTTTTAATACTAAAAGTATAATCTGGGCCAGTCCATATGGCAAGCATGCAGACATTTTTATTCTCCAGAGATAGGATATATCTTTTTTTACATTAAGTGATACATTGATACTTGTGTTTATTTTTCCCCATTCGGACTGGTAAGAAAGCTCAACTACAATCAAAATAACTATAATGAGTGAATCAAATTAACTAACTGGTACTTACCTACTCGTATTATAATAATGTGCAAACTTTATAATAATTGAAATATACTGTAAATAACAATAAAATTGAATAAATCAATTAATCATTCAATATTCATTAAAGTATTAATTTAAATAATTTCAATATTATGGATGTACGTACCGTGAAAAAGACAATTTGTTTTTATATTGAGAATGGGCTCACCACAAATTGTGGCATAAATTAATGAAATGCATGTCAATTTATTACTTATATATCTAGATTACATTAGTGATATTAGTTTTACCGCAATCTCATTATAACCTAAAACTTATATGTGCGACTGTCTAGTAGTTTTTTATCGATACTCTATATTATAATAGTGCAGTGTTAATAATAAAAAGTATAAAAAAACTTGTAGGTTCTTCAAAATCTTAAATACTAGTTGGATTCTCCGGAACTACTAAAAGAATATTTTTAGTAGTTCCATAGTAGTAGTAAACAGACTGCGGTGATTTATATGTAGCTATTGATTCTTAATTGTATTATTTATCATGATACCGGTTAGATTTTCATAAAATCTTTAGCCAATTTACTACAGTAAATTGGTATCTTTTTATGAGTTAAATTACGTTAAAATATCTAGTTGGTCCAAAAACGATTGTCTCCTTTAAAAAGCCTAACAAAAGCCAGACGGGCCGGACACCGTCTAATTTGGCCGGACACGCAACCAAAAAGCCTGACCGGCTTTATCCGGTCGCCTGGCAACGCTAGCCACGGCCTTCGACGCCCATTACGATAATATCGAAACGAGACAGAGCGCGCGAAATAAATTAGGTCCGACGAACGCTCGCACTATACCGAACGCAGAGGGCCGGCGCAGTGAAATATATGGTACTTTTATTTAGTTAATTAAAAAAAATAGTAACGATTTAAAAAGTAAAAATCATGGTAGAGTTTAAGCAAATATTGATGATTATTTTGATATAAATTTTACGCCAAAATGATGTAAAACTTGGGAGATATTGGGGCTTGTATTGAAGCTTTTTCTGTAGATAATTGAATTATGTCGATTTTTTTCCCTTGCGTGAAAAGCATATAACGAAAATGTATTTAATAATTATTAAAGTATAGGATATTTGTCTCAAAAATATTTTTTTCGATGGTCGATATTCAATAGAATCTACAAATTAGAGCTCCCAAATCATGTCTCTCAGAGTTTTGGCCTAAACATGCATATTGAGAATGATTATTATTAAATAAATAAATAAGTTATCTAAAATTTGCCTTGAGCTTATTGTAGTAGAGAAAATGAACTATTTTTACCAAGTAATTGTTATTTCAAGCAATGAACGGAAAACATATAATTTCAACGAGGAAACCTTGTAATTTCGCGTTTTTTTGTAATACTCCTCTTAAGTACGTGGTATGCTACTGTTTTAGAATCCTCATGATGTAGGCAAACTTTTTAAATGGTTGGCCACACAGACCCCATACGTTTCTTGTTTTCACCACAGGTGCTCAAACTTAGCAGTTAAATAAAGTAAAAAATTAAAACTTATGTTTAGTGCTGTCTTAAATATAAAATAAATACCACCCATAGAAGTTGAAAACTTTAAAGGGTACTTTAGAAACATCAATATTAGGGAACACATTAAAAGAAAAAAATCCGATCTAGAGCATTAAACTGCGGACGTGATATTCACAAATGTGAGCAGAAGTACGAATTTTTGAAAATTATATAAAACATGGCGTAGAGCGTGAACTGTTGACGATAGAATTTTTTTTACGGAACCGAGGCCACCTCCCCCCCGTCCGAACACGTACGTACCAGATTATCCACCATTACTGGGATATCCTGTATACATACTTGTTATTCAGCTTATCAATCTCCATTTCACCATTATTAAGCCTCTTCCATCGTGTCACAACTGGATCTGCTGCATGATTTGGTCCCCAGCGTCCAAGCACACCTCTGCCACAAATACCTGTTCTTCCCAGAGGATTTATTGGGTATCCATTTGTAATTTGATATAAGCCCATATGACTCTTTCTGTTTACATTTCCATCCAAACTATTCCACTTTGGTTTAAAATTAGAATCAGCTGAAAGCAAAACCAAACAATCAGATTTTTAAAGGTAATTAATTTTTCCAAAAATAGATAGATATGTTTGTATGGTACAGTTTATTACTCTACCATCAATACGGTGCTCCAAGGTTTTTCTAAAATATTCCTTGATCAGAATTCGAGGTTAAGCTCATAGGTTATTTAAAACTTATCCAATATTTACATAAGAAAAAATTGCATTTATACTGACTATTATTTAGTTTTTTTGATGTATTGTACATAATTAATCCTCATCCTCAGACTTGCTGTGTACAAGGATGTAGAGTATGCTTTTAATAACATTATCTTCACAGTGTGTATACACTGGGAAAACCTACAGGCCACCATATTCGGTGGACAACAATGCTCTGCATTCTCTTGTGCCTGTGCCTGTGGTATTTGAATCTGATAACACTTATTAAGTGCTACTCCATTAAGTGTTATAAGTAGAATATCACTTGTACACTTGGCACCCACCTTGAAGATCATGAACTTTATTTTTTTATAGAAGAGGGGGCAAACGAGCATGCGGCTCACCTAATGGTAAGTTTCTACCGCTGCCCATGAACAACTGCAACACCAGGGGAATCACGGGTGCGTTGCCGACCTTTTAAAAGAGAGTAGAGTAGGCTTTTTTCTTGAAGGTCCCTAAGTCGCATCGGTCTGGAAAAATCGCGGGTGATATTCGATTCCACAAGTAAGTTGTGCAAGGGACAACTTTTTGTAAATCACACAGTGGTGGACCACCAATCACTCAGAGAGTATGAATGGCATCGCGAGCTTAGTCGCGATGTGCGATGGTGAAATTGAGTCGCTGGAATTAGTTCGAACAATTCCTCAGAACACTTCCTGTATTAGATGCGATAAAATACATGGATGGATCAAATAGAAGGAGTTAGCACTGGGGAGCCACGGCCCAGAGATGGGAAAATTCACGAATTCATTCCAAAGAATTCCATGTGAGGCCAAATCTGTGCCTTGTAAAGTTGCAGGCAGTGTACTGCATGAAATACTATTCCACTCTTCTGAACATGTCTTTTTAGAACAATTTGGAATTCTCTTCCAAGTGAACACAAAACTGCGCGTCACTCGATATGTAGACGTAGAGGATTCCGATACTGGCTGAGGCAACCATGGGAATGCCCTGAAATTGAGGAGCTACGATTAAGGGGTTCTTTGTAGCAGTAAATGCCCATAACTGTGTCATCTGGGAATTGAACTGAACTAGATTTAGTCGTCCCCAATCCGAGAATTTGTTCAGCAAAGTCTCACAAGTTCGTTCCGGTACTCGGCGGCATTAGCCCAAGAATTATTGGCAAAACCGGCGTATAAAGCATCACCACTGCTGTCGTCTGCATAGCAATGAATGTTACCGGGTTGCAACATATCACTGATATGCTGAAGAAATAGCATAGGTGACAGATAACACTCAGCCTTGTAGAAAGAAACACCTGTGTTAAGTGGCTTGTAATCGGGACATACACCACTACTACGACTTTGATGCTCTGATCTCCATGAAAACTGGTCATTAAATTTCACTATTTCACAGGAAGTTCATAGAAACGAAGCTTCCAAAGAAGTGTTTTGTGCCAAACCGATCGAAGGCCTTCGTTATGTCCAAACTAATGGCCAAGGTTTCTGCCCTTGGACTATGCTGCCTCTACCCATCTATGAGTCAGATAGACTAGAAGATCACCAGCTAAGCGACCCCGACGGAAACCGTACTAGCGGTTACTAATCAGATACTCAAGGTACCTCATGAGCTGCCCATGCGTCAGCCCAGTCCCGGTAGCACTCCTGCTTATGGAGTGATACAATTTTCAAGACAAAACCATCAACCACATCAGCGACAGAATCAGCAACAACATTGGGATCATCCAGCGAGAACCAAACCCACCCCTAAGGGTAGGATACAAAAAAACTTAACTTAACCTCGAGTAGTTTTAGTGGCGAGCAGAATTTCGCCTGCCCCTCTCCCCAGAATGCGCAGGGCAGCCTGAGCACCAACACTCAGGAAGAGCGAGGTAGCTTGGGTGTGGATGCTCAGCAAGGGAATTTCCGACCGACTGACGATACATGCAACAGCAAAAAGCTGCCATGTATTGCATGCTATGTATTGCGGCATATGATTTGCATATAGCATGCCAACACCACTGTCATTAGCATAGCTGAAGATATTAAAACACACTGTTTATATAACAGTCTATAGGCATGCTGCTCAGTTTCACAATCATCTTATTATTGTTCAAGCTAAAAAAAAACTATGAGCTTAATCTGCCCTTCCTAAAGCCACATTCAAACCTATATGTATCCGAGAGCTCATTTGCTCTCTTCACATTATTTTTTTGATCTAGGAACCAATATTTAAAAGGTGAGTTAATCTCTGGTGGCATCTAACTAAAGCTACAGATCTTCATGTGTCAAATCAAAAGCCCATGAAAGGTCCAAAATCTAAGTACAGATGGCAGTGTATGAGTACTTATCAGTATGCTTCAGACGGGCAATGGGCAACTGCAAATGATTTGGTCATTTGAATAATCTAATCTATAAAGTAATAATATCTACACTACTAATTTTCGAGATGAATATTAAGCAATTATGGTCATAATCAAATGATGAATGATCATATTAACAATAGAAATTACCAATCATATTCAATATCACAGTTCTCAGTTTTGTTTATTGTTATCATTATTATTAATTTTTTCCTCGGACTCGTCTCCACAAAATGGTTTGGTACACAAAAAGTATCTTTTGTAAAATATAGCAAATCAATGAAAAATCTTTGGCAGCTTGAATAAATAAAAAAAAAAATACTTCTTGCCAGTTCCTCTTTGAGGTCTTGTTATGGCGAACCTGTGTAGATTTTGATGTACATAAGAACGTTCAAGAAATTTAAATAACTATAAAATTATCCTTATACTTACTTATATCGGGATCGGCCCATGGTTTGCCATAAATAGAAGCTGAAGTGTAATTTGGAGGATTATATTCTTTGTACTCAACGTTCCAGGATACTTTATCATCGGGAACTGAAAATCTCTGAATTGTGGAACGGGGGTAAATACCGTAACGAGCTTTCACGTGTTGTAAAATCATAATGAATTTTATTAACTTCATTTAAAAGTAAAATATACAGAACGCAAATATTTAATATTTATATCCATTGATGGAACAGTAATGCAGTAATCTATGAATGGATGTCCACATAGCTGCACATATAGAAATGGATGTAAATATGTAAACAAAGAAACAACATAAGCAATCGGTATGTCAAAATATCAAAATCACATTTTTTTATTAACTGGCTTTCGGCTCTTGGTTCTAGCCTTTCTGAGCCTATTTCCTTTCAGAATCTTCATTTTATATTATTTTTCTTCACAATATGCTGATGCGTCACATTGTGGCCTTTGGGAGATTTTGACGACAGCTCAACCTAGCGGACAGTTGATGACGACAGCCACTCAAGTTCATAAGGCGCCTAAGCGATCAAAATAACATGAGGTTTATATCAATATTACAGCACATATTTCGTCGTTTTCTCTAACAGTTCGCACGCGCGGACACTTAATTCACAAAATCGCATCACTTTTACGAATCAAAATCCACTTCAAACCATTATTCAAGCGACGAAACAGGTGTGACAATCCGTCTACGGCCAAGTTCCCGCCAAAACTCCAAAATCACATTGCTCTTTCTATGGCATGGAGTTTAGAGAACAGGAGAACGATCGCTGTAGAAAATAGTGTACCAGAAATATGGACAAAATAAATGAGTCGCTGCGATCGCTAAGTTGTCTCAATAAAAGCGGGCTATTGTGCGCTAGTTTGAAATGATTAAAAAATCATTCAAAGAAAAAAAGAAAATTACGAAATTATGATTATTTATTAATAAATAAATTTTAAATTATTTTTTTATAATTTTAACTATTACCAAATATTATAAAATATTACGAATTGAAATTATTACTAATTATTTATTATGGGGTATTAGTAGTGTATTCTCATCTGAATAAGTATATAAAAGGAAATGATAAATATACATAAATATATTCTTCAGAGGTGCTGGTACCCTCCTGGGGTAGTCCGACAATTTAAGCTACCATGTTGATGGGGGGGGGGGAATTGGGCCTTCGGCCACCTGCACTCACCAGACGAAACGCGGAAGCAAAGCTTCCACTTCACGCCGGTATTCTGTGAGGTCGTGGTACCACCCCGGTTTGAGCCAGCCCATACGTGCAACAGCAACGCTGCCGCGTGGCTCTACCACTGTTAAAACTCCATAGTTATTTCCTTCTTTGGTTTTGGACCCGTACGGTTAAAGTTTTGCCAGTGTCAAGTAGTACGAAATTATTTTTTTGTTTAAAAAACTTCTTTACAATGTGCTGTAATGTCGGGAGGTTCGGGGAATAAATAATGCGTCTACTGGTCTTGAATTAAGGTTTATTACTGACCGAATGTTTATTAGGCTATCATATATATATAACTACATGAGCATACACTACACACACACTACACGCCCATCGGCAAAAAGAAAAAAAATGAATTACAAATTTTTTTTTAATGAATTACAACTTGGTGTAAAAATCAAAAAAATTGTACATTATTTTAAAATATTAAAAATCGTATACCTACCATATTATATTTATAACATAATAAAATAAAATAAAATATCGTAAACACCGTAATTTAAAAAAACATAACTTTCCATCTCTGTATTGAATTTTTTTAAACAATCATCAAATTCCTTACGTAATTGTATTTAATCTTTAGGTTTTCGTTGTGAAATAATTTTAGTTCGCCTATCATTACTGCATAACTTTTAAAATTTTCATATTATATAACTATTAATTCACTAGACTTAAAATACAGTTTTTAAAACAAAATTATAGTTATCAAAAATATTATAAGGTGTTTACAATTTTTTTTATATTCTTAAACTTAAACTATATTATTCATTATAAATCTTAACAAATCTGTAAGAAGCTAATGCCATTGAAATAGTATCCTTACTTTTAAGTGGATAAACTTCAGCATACTTATTTAAATCACACTGAGTGTGTGAGTATATAAACATTACTAGCACCATGCTTACATAACGGCCCTACTAAATCTAAATAAACTCTATGAAAAGTGGAATATCCCATAAATCGGTTATAACCATTGGTTCCTTTATATATTTATTTAAGTGTTTATGCAAACACTTGTCTCATCGTTTTACATAATTAGTAGGATGTTACTAATTATGTATATTATATAGTCTCTAACTCTGGTCAAAAGAACCTTTTCTTTGTATTATTTATCATTCGCCTATACGCGCGTGACCGTCAGTTGGCAAAAAATGATAGTCGTTTAATATTACATGTTTTGTCACACGGCGGTCCTAGTGCAACTGGCAGGTTCGCCATGTAATGTCGGGAGGTTCAGGGAATAAATAATGCGTCTACTGGTCTTGAATGTAGGTTTATTACTGACTGAATGTTTATTAGGCTATCATATGTATATATAGCTACATGAGCATACACTACACACACACTACAGTGCTTATGCGTTATATTACTAACTTCTGGGAGGTTTTTAGGGCAATTTTTAACAGTGGTTGAGCCACGCGGCAGCTTTGCTGTTGCACGTATGGGCCGGCTCAAACCGGGGTGGTACCACGACCTCACAGAATACTGGCGTGAAGTGGAAGCTTCGCTTCCGCGTTTCGTCTGGTGAGTGCAGGTGGCCGGAGGCCCAAATCACCCCCCCCCATCAACATGGTAGCGGAAATAAATGATGATAGACTACCCCAGGAGGGTACCAGCACCGCAGGAGAATCCCACGCTGAGCATCCAAGATAATGTTTCTCCACTTCTGAGCGTGGGTCCTCAGGCTGCCCCGCGTATTCTGGGGGGGGGGCAAAATTCCGCTCAAGACTACAACTGCTCGGGGCAAACGGAGCAACAAAACCAAGGCGACCCCCTGCCACGCTGTCCGTGAATTTCTGCAATATTAGGGGACTTCACTCTAACCTAAACGCCATCAACTACCATCTCGAGACGGCGAGGCCGACTCTGCTCTTTCTGACCGAGACGCAGGTGTCCTCTCCGGCTGATGTCTCGTATCTCTCCTGCCCGGGGTACAAACTGGAACACTCCTTTGTGCCTCGGGCTGGAGTTTGCGTTTACGTCAGAGAGGACATCTGCTCTCGACGCCTCGGCAGACTTGAAGGTTCGGACCTGTCCATCCTTTGGCTACGCGTAGACAGCGACGACCATCCGCGCGTCTACGGGTGCCTCTATAGGTCCAATAGCGGTAATGCCGAAACAGACCGACTCTTCGACCACGTCCAAATGGCTACAGATTCGTTGCTACAGCAGATCCCCTCCGCAGATCGTGATCCTCGGCGACTTTAACGCCCATCACGCCGAATGGCTTAGTTCACGTTTAACCAATCATGCGGGGAGATCTGTTTATGATTTTGCCTTGGCATATGGTCTGACACAACTGGTTACTTCGCCAACGCGGATTCCAGATGTGGAGGATCATGCACCTTCCCTGTTGGACCTTCTGCTGACCTCTTACCCGGACGGATATCAGATTTCCGTTGACGCCCCTTTAGGCTCCTCGGACCATTGTCTTGTTCGGAGTGTGGTGCCACTCACGCTGAAATCACAGTTGCAATCTGCAGGCTGCCGCCGTGTTTGGCACTATAGGTCAGACGATTGGGATGGGATGCGGTCTTTCTTTGCATCCTACCCTTGGGGGCGGGTTTGCTTCTCGCCGGACGATCCCAACGTTGTTGCGGATTCTATCACTGATGTGGTACTTAAGAGTATGGAACTTTTTATTCCTTCCTCTGTAGTGCCCATTGGAGGCAAATCTCAGCCATGGTTTGGTCGCTCCTGTAAAATAGCATCATGCTATAAGCAGGAGTGCTACCAAGCCTGGGCTGACGCATCAGCGTCCCGGGATGTAAACACCAGCGCTCTAAAAAAAGAAGTATAATTCCGCCTCTAGGTCCTTCAAAAGAGTCATTGCCAAGGCAAAGTCAGAGCACATAGGCAGAATTGGCGAGAAACTAGTCCGCCTTCCTTCTGGAACTCGTGCATTCTGGTCTCTCGCCAAGGCTGTCCAGGGGAATTTCTGTCAGCCATCTCTGCACAGGGAGGACGAGTCACTGGCCCATACCGCAAAGGAGAAAGCCGATCTTCTAGACTCTTTCTTTGCGTCAAACTCGACTCTCGATGACGGGGGGAGTCCGCCGCCGACCATCCCGCGGTGTGAGTGCTCCATGCCGGAAGTGCAGTTCACACAGCGCTCGGTTCGCAAAGCACTCCTCTCCCTGGACATCCACAAGTCGAGTGGGCCTGACGGAATCCCCCCAATTGTGCTGAGGACGTGTGCTCCAGAGTTGGCACCGGTTTTAACGAGTCTTTTCCGGTACTCCTACTCCCTAGGCGTAGTCCCAAAATCGTGAAAGACGGTTTTCGTCCACCCGATCCCTAAAAAAGGCGACCGCTCAGACCCGTCCAACTACCGGCCTATCGCCATCACCTCCTTGTTCTCCAAAACAATGGAGTCCATTGTAAACTGCCAGCTCATTAGGTACCTTGAGGATCACCAGCTGATTAGTGACCGCCAATACGGTTTTCGCCGTGGTCGGTCAGCTGGTGATCTTCTGGTCTACCTAACTCACAGATGGGCGGAGGCAGTAGAGTTCAAGGGGGGAGGCATTGGCCGTTAGTTTGGACATTGCGAAGGCTTCGATCGGGTTTGGCACAAAGCGCTTCTTTCGAAGCTCCCTTCCTATGGGCTTCCCGAGAAATTGTGCGATTGGATCACCAGCTTTCTTGCAGATCGGGGCATCAAGGTCGTTATAGACGGTGCAAGCTCCGATTGCAAGCCTATTAATGCTGGTGTTCCACAAGGCTGCGTGCTATCGCCAACGCTGTTTCTTCTGCATATCAATGATATGTTGCAAACCTGTAACATTCATTGCTATGCAGATGACAGCACTGGTGATGCTCTTTACACTGGTCGAGCCAATATTTCTCGGGAAAACGTTTCCGAGTGCCGGGACAAACTTGTGTCTGAAGTCGAGTCTTTGCTGAACAG